ATCTAAACTAATAAGCAAATAAAAAGAAATAAAAGAGAAAAAAGAAAAGAAATGCAAACCTCTAAATAATTCTTCATCTCCATCTTCATCATCCAACAAAGAGAAGAAATATCTAAAGTGGTGAAAAAATTATTATTATTAATTATAACAAAAAGTTATAAATTTGGAAAACCTTCTCAATTAAGAGTAGCCCTCCTCTCCAAGCCTGTTTTAAACCATATAAGCTCTTCTTGAGCTTGCACACCATCTCTTCATTTCCTTCTTCAATGAAGCTAACAGGCTGCTTCATGTAGTTACTGTGCTTCTGATCATTGATTTGTCAACTGATGAACAGTATCAGTCGACCGATGCACTGTTCACAGAGCACTATTTACAGAAACATGAAATCTAAAAATTTGATTTTGTAAATTCAATTAAAAATAACAATTCAACTCCAAAAATAGTAAAACTTGGAGAAATATTTTTATACATGAAAATAAACATTTTAAAGAAGAAAAAATTCCATATTTGTAAAAACTTATTTGTTTTGCAAAAATAGCATGAAATCTGAAAAGATAATTTTCTAAATTTAATTAAAAATAACAAATTAACTCTAAAATTAGTAAACTTTTGGGAAATGTTTATAAACATGAACATAAACATGTTAGAGAAAGAATTTCTAAAATATCACTTTGTATTTTTGAGAATTTATTGTTTTAAAATAGATATTCCTGATTCTAAAAACTGCTAAAAACTTATTTTTGTAAATTTAATTTAAAATAACAAAACAACTCTAAAATTAATAAAACTTAGGAAAATGTTTGTCTATATTAATATGAATATGTTAGAGAAGAAATTATTTAAATTACATTTTTCAATTATGAAAACTCATGTATTTTGCAAACTGTTCAAGATTACAAAATCATCAAAAACCTAATTTTGATGAAGTCATTCCAAACAAGTTTTGAAACACTTTTAAATAGATTAATAGACTTGAGGAAAGATATAAAATAGTATAAACAAGTTTTTATTCCATAAACACATTATTTTCACAAAAGATGTATAATGTGATAAATATGAAACAAATTGCGTTTGTATATAAATATATCTATTAGTTTCATATTTAAATGGCTAAACTTGAAAGAGATAAAATGAAACATGTATGTGTATGATTTGAGCTTTAAGCATATGACATAAAGTAAACAACTTAGACTACAAAACTATACCCAAGCTAATGATCTCTTCATGACGCTCAATCTTGGTAACATGGATGAAGCGCAATAGTGTCTTTGACTTGAAATGCAAATGGCTTCATTCCGGTTTCCTCCAACCTCCAAAGGATGTCGTCGTTAAGCTTAATTCCAATCAATCACCAACGGAGAATATTTGTGTAGATTACCTAACAAAACAAATACAAATACTCGACACACGATGTTAGGAATTGTTTATTAATCATCAAATCTAGATTAAATATAATAGGTTCATAAATATGAGACCTAACAATATCCATATCTCCTAAAACCAGAACCTTAAAATTAGATAGGGATACATATATACATGCAGATATATAAGCAAACAACGAATATACATGCAGATAAAAAACAGATATAAGAAAACTAGATAATATTGAAAAAAATATATAGTTTAGATGATATAAAAAAGTTCATTAATATGTTTGTTATGTTTGAAAAAGCGAAGATTAGATCTCTTGATAATCAAAACTAACCTCAAACTGTTACAACTGTATAACCATTATACATTCACATATTTCGACTATAGATCTATATATTCACTACATATTTGTATTCAGACCATGCATTTTAAAGCAAGAATCCTCTCAGAACGATCCTACAACTTATCTATGCGAGAACTTGTAAAAAAGTGTCGTGTGTTCAACAGTGGCACAAAAGTCTTCAACGGGTTACGCTCGTGCGCTCAATCTCTTCTTCTCTGCTCCAAATCCTTTTCCACCACAAAGTAATGTTAGTCTAGGTGTAGACCCAAAGCTAAAGCCAAAACTGGAATCAAGAAGATGAAGCAAAACGAAGGAAATAGGAAAACTGAAGTGCGGTCGACCGCGGTGGTCTTGGCAGTCAACCGCGAATGTGCACGAGACAAGAAAAGTCTCTGGACTTTTTCCGGTTGACCATGGCGGTTGGTGTGGTCGACCGTGCCTGGACCCTGGGGTTAAGTAAGTCTCTGGATTTTTTTCGGTCGACCGCGGAAGAAGGTCTGGTCGACCGCGAAGACCCTGTAGGCGTAGTCTGGGTTTCTATTATTTATCCGGTCGACCGCGACTAGTTCGGCGGTCGACCACGAGTCGTGCTGTCAGTTTCCTAAACTGTTTAGGATTCTATTTTGATTCAGATTGATATAAATACCCAAATATTTTTTAGGGTTATTAGACCATCAAAAACCATCAGAAAGAAAAAAAAAGAGAGGGAGAGAATCTCAGAGAGATTAAACCCTTATTTGAGTGCTTGTATTCCTTCTTCAATTAATCAAAAAGATTGTGTGGTGTGGCTCTCGATGACGTAGACACGTTGCCGAACCTCGTTAAATTCGTATGTTCTCTCTTGTTCATATTTCTGCAAGTTTTTATTTTTGATTTGTGGTGAATTTCCTTCTTGCTCAACTTTCTAACAAGGTCCGGAAGGGTAATGGTTCGATTTGATTGTTTAGAATCCCCAACAAGTAACAAGTGCAATCATGATCTCTCTTTCTGATTTGGTGTTTCTCTTTTGCAAATTTTTCTATTGATACTTCTCATCTCAAAGATTAATTAGAAATTCGCAAAGCCCCTAAAGGAAACTAACTTCTCAATTTCTCTATCGAAAAGTAAGGATTTTGACATGTGGGTTCTATTGTGTTGATTGAATGCTCTAATGAGCTGTTAGAATTTGATCCATGGGCTTCTAGTTTGTTATCAGTTTATGCGTGTCGGAGTAAGAATGTTCAATTTTAGACTAAGGCTTTGTTCAAGGTTTTGATCCCTTAATCCGCTAATGAGAAAAGTCTATTTGAGATTGATAATCAAATACTGAAATGGATGAGAAACACTTATTTGAGATTGGTAACCAAATACTCTTCAAGTCTCCCTAAAAATTCAGAGAAAAAAGAAAAATGAAGACCCATGAATCCTTGAATGCTATCAGTTTGAAGCATGCTGCATGAAGAAGACCATGGAAGATGACGGAAGGCCATCAAAATTTCCAACTTTGCTCGTCGCTAAGGGAAGACGGTATTTTGTGCTCAGTTGGGCATGTGTCACTCTTTTATGAGTTCCGCCTAAACAAGTTATACGATAGGACAAATTTTTAAAAATAACCCTTTTACAATTTTAATGAGTAAAATCGACCTTCTCCGAAAAAAAACAGCAAAATCAATCTTTTTCAGATAAAAATGGTCTATTTTGCTGAATCAAGATTTTCGAACTGTACGGGACTACTAGTCCCTTGCAGTTAAGATGTTAAGCAATTACCAGGATCCTCTCCTCCATTTTCTTCCCCATTATCCTCTCCCGTCGATCCTGAAGCTTAAGCAATTACCAGGATCCTCTCCTCCATTTTCTTCCCCATTATCCTCTCCCGTCGATCCTGAAGCCACAAAAAAATCCCAACCCTAGAAAACCCACAACCAAACCCTAACCCTAGAAAAAGCCATGACTCCTCATCCTCCTCCTCCACCTCTGCCGCTCCTTCTCCCAGTCCACCTCCATCCCAAGAAGCTCCAGCGCGTCCGCGACCACTCCTTCGACTCAATCATGGACATCGAGAAGAAGACCTGCATCGCCCTCAAACTCCAAGCCCTAATCCTCTCCCACCCTAACTCCTCCCTCCCGCTCTCCACCCTCGACTCCCTCTCCTGCCGCCACCTCCGCCTCCGCCCCCTCGCCGCCGGCTCCTTCCTCCTCCTCCACCCCCACGCCTTCCACGTCTTCGAGCTAGCGGTGGTGGTGACGAACCAGGTGGTGGATGTGATCGACGAGGACTTTGGGATCTCATGGGCCAACTGCTTGTCGCCGGTGTTTGGGATCGGCAGGAACGCGGAATGAACTTAGGCTTTGAACTTGAGGCTAAACTGCGTGAACTTGAGGCTAAACTGCTTGATAAGATCGGCAGGATCTCATGGGTCAACTGCGTGAACTTGAGACTCTTCTTGTCGAGGGAGGAGGAGACCGTGAGGGGAGGGGAGGAGGGTTTTGATCAGGGTTTGATGAGAGCTTTGACATCGGAGGACGAGGAGGATTCAGGTGGTTTTCGCGCCGCATTTGGCAGAGGCGTCGACAGAGTTTGTGATTGTGAAGGAGGGGTTTTTTGGGGTAAGCTTGTCGAGGAAGGAGCCGGCGGCGAGGGGGCGGAGGCAGATGTGGCGTGGCGCGGAGAGGGAGTCGGGGTGGAGAGGGAGAAGGGTTGGGGTGATTTGCAGTCATTAGCAACGAGGCTACTAGTCCCGTGCAGTGCGATAATCTTCACTCAGCAGAATCGATCCTTTTCAGATGAAAATGGACGATTTTACTGTTTTATTTTAGAGAATGCCGGTTTTTCTTATTAAAATTGCAAAAGAGTTAGTTTTTTTTTAAATTTGTCCTATAGGATACGTTTCTGAGGGGATTCTTACACGGTATTCATGGCTATATCCACACGGATATAGATTTTAGAAACCAAACCACATATTATAGGATAAGGATTGAATATTTCCTCCCATACTTTTACCTTTGTACACCCCTTGTCCCCATGCTTTCTCCGCCGCATCTCATTAGAATGCCGCGTCCAGCCGGTGTGAGCCCGCGATGTCTGGCATTCCAGTTTACAGCTTATGTTGTTTCTCACGGCTCAAAAAACACAGGACAAGGGACTTTTCCCCCGACCCGTCACAACTCCATATATTTTAGGGGTACTTAAGTGCAAATAAGTCAAAAACTTAAGAAAGAAGTAAAGTCGCGTGCTGCACACCTATGATTCAATATGAACCCCGTCATTGTTTTAAGCGTTTAATCCGTTAGCACCCACACTGTAGGTCCCCCGGATCCATCCCCCTCAAGAAACGTGCCCCATTTTCCCTTCGTTAGAGTCAATCAGCCACATTCAATTGACACTCAACGCGCAATCTCTCTCTCTATATATAAAACGTCCCCATTAGTCTCATTACAGATTCCCAAAAAAAAAAAATTAAAAAATTAGCTCATTAATTTAGAGAAGATGGGTACTCTTGGATTGATCTTGGTAGCTTTGGGTGTGATCTTGGTCTCGATCCTATGGAAGAAGATGATGGTCTTGCTATGGAGGCCTTATGTTCTGAAGAAAAGGTTCAAGGAGCAAGGAGTTAGTGGGCCTGAGTACAAGTTCAGATCTGGGTCTTTTGTTGAGGTGAGGAGGTTGGAAGATGAAGCAAGAGAGATTGAATTGGATGTCAATTCTCATGACATACTCCCCAAAGTTGCTCCTTATTACTACAAATGGGCGAATCAATATGGTTTGTGGCTACATCTCCTTTGGCTTTCTTTTCCTTCATTTACTTTCTTTTTTAATTTTTAGAGATTCTTTTTTTTGGGATATGTTATTCGAAACAGTCTTATGGGCATATTAGTTTCTTGGATCATTGGAATTAATTGATGGACATTTCATTAAATCTTATGCTCATATTGGTTTTTTAGTTTTTTATTTCACAGTTAATCACCTCCAAGGGGTCTTATCAATTTGTCTCGAAGGAAAATTTTAGGATATGGCAATTCGAAAGATTTAGTGAAAAAAATTATGGGCCAAGTACTAAGGAAAATGTCCGGAAAAGGGTTTTTTAATTTTTTTTATTTAGTAGATTGAACTGAATGATAGAAAAACATTATTATTCTGCTATCGTAAAAAAAAAATTTATCAAAATTCAAAAGCATGATATGAAACATGGTAATTTGAGGGACCAATGACCCAAACCCAACTTTAACAGACTTGAATGAGAGGAAAACAGGGTTAAGATTCACTTAAGCCCATGCTGACTAAAGGGTGTCAGTTCATTCCTCGCCCTTTAATAGCTACTTTAGCTAGCTTTTGAGGGTGAGTTCTCGTAGATCCCTTGAAGTTTGAGATAAAATGTTTGTTGATGCTTATTTAACGGTGTCCGTGATCTCAGGAGGGACATTTGTGTATTGGGTTGGACCGATTCCGAATCTGTGCGTCACTGATGCTGAGCATGTTAAACAAGTTCTATCGAATAAGTTTGGTTTCTTCGCCAAGCCCAAGGTAACCGGAGCCCTGCTGAGTCTTTTGGGCAAGGGACTTGTTCTCACCGATGGATCCGAGTGGGCCAGACACAGAAGGGTTGTCAGCCCTGCGTTCACCATGGACAAACTCAAGGTCAGTCTACTTATTCACACTTAAATATCATTAGAGCATAAATTATAAACCTAAACTCTCCCCCACAATTTCAGACTTAATGATATAGTGATAGGGAACATTAACATGGTATCAGGAGCAAGTTAGGTTCAAATCCTAACTTGCTGTCGTTCAGTGTTGTGATTTTGTTGCTTTAAGTTATAATTCGGACTCGTATGTTTTAATTACCTATATACTATAGCTTGTCATGTATACTATGAGCTAGGCGAACGACTCTAACGTAATGTTTTAAGCGTAGAGCTTCGAGAGAAAAAGGATGATATCCTTCATTGCATTAAGGTGCTTATATACAAAAGTAAGATGAGTTGCTCCAGTATCTCGAGCAATATGGGACAAAAGAAAGGGATAGAAGAGCGCTTATTTACAACATTTAACAGAAACATAGTTTCAAACAGTCAGTGATAAGAAACCTGGTACCTATGCTCATCAACATGTATCATGGTATGCAGGTAATGACGAAGCAAATGGCAGAATGTGCTCAATCAATGATCGAGACTTGGAACATTCAAATGGATAGTACCAACAATGAGCAAAAGGCAATAGAGGTGAACAAACAATTTCAGGAGCTGACTGCAGATATAATCTCTCATTCTGCTTTTGGATCCAGCTACATTGAGGGGAAGGAAGTGTTTACTGCACAGCAAGAGCTCCTCATGCTCACCCTAGCTTCCTTCAATGGCAGTGTTTCTGAGACCAAGTAAATATTCGCTGCATATCTGATACCTATTTATGTCTAGTTACATAACCAAATTCTAAACGGTCCATTCTCCCACAAAAAAAAAAGGTTCATTGCACCTAGCTCCCCTTTCGTTGTTTTGGACTTTTTTTGGTCAATGAAAAAACTTTATTTTGGTGCAATGAAAAGATATAGGAAGATAACTCTCACAATGTATTCACCCAAATTTATAAATAGTTATGAATATCCTTTTGTTTCTCTCTTGCCTAGTATAGTAGACATCAGGAACAGTAGCATCCTTTTCAAGCTTTGTTTGAAACCATTTCCCTTCATACTTCTAGAATACCAGTTAATGAGTAGTCTGCAGTCGTTACTTTTCCAATCAAAGCCAATCTAATCCATGAGGGAATTTCAAATTTCCAAAGACTATGTGCATGAGAAGAAATTTTGATTGAACAGCAAGCCATAATGTAAAAGAGTGCTTAGGTGTACTAAGTGATCCCCAAGAAGTTCTAAACCAAAGAAGAGGTGTCAAACCAGGAGTATATGCATTGTAAATTCTTGATAGACTTATTTTGCCATTGACACTACATTCCTGAATAGTACAGAAAAGAGAATTTGTACCTCCAAAATGATTAACTGAATGATCCCTCATCTTTAGCAAATGTTCCACATCCAAGAATCTCCCGATTTTGCTTGAACAGTCCAGATTGTGCTACGTTTTATGTAGCATTCATGTACCCATCTAATCCACAGCATGTCTTTTTTCAAGTGAATGAACCATAGCAACTTAATTGCAGATATTGTATTCCAAACTTTAGCTCAGAAGATACCCAAGCATTATTTTGGACTTATTACCCCTGTAAGTCTCATTTTGGCAAATAGACCCCCCCTAGGTTATATTTGCTCGACTCTTTTACCCTCAGATAGACTCATTAATTTCACATAGGGACAATATCTGCCAAAATTTCACTAAGGGAAAAATAATAATAACACATGGGTCTATCAGTCAAATGAAATTACAGGGATAGTAAGTTAAAAACATTGATACTAGAGGGAGTTTATGTGTAATTAACCAAAAAAATGTCTAATCAATTACTCTGCATCTATTGCAGGATAAATAAACATAAACAGAGACTTGACAAGAAAATGAGGAACACACTTCTCAGCATCATTGAGAATAGGATGAATTCCAAAGATTCTTTAGGCTATGGCAACGACCTCCTCGGCCTAATGTTGGAATCTACTGAGAAACAAGAAGGTACAGGATTGAACACAGATGAAATTATAGACGAGTGCAAGACTTTCTTCTTCGGTGGACATGAGACTACCTCTGAGCTACTAGCCTGGACAACGTTCTTGTTGAGTACAAATCAAGAATGGCAGGTAAAATTACGAGATGAAGTAGTTAAGGAATGTGGTAGAGAAATCCCCAAAGCTGATAATTTAAGCAAGTTTAAGTTGATGAATATGGTTCTGCTTGAAGCCTTGAGGCTCTACCCTCCTGTACCAATGATTGGGAGGGTGGCTGCCAATGATGTGAAATTGGGAGACATTATGGTACCTAAGGGCACTGCAGTGTCGATTCCCTTTATTGTCATTCATCGGAAGAAAGAACTTTGGGGTGAAGATGCGGATAAATTCAATCCTCTAAGGTTCGAGAATGGGGTGACGAAAGCCGCTAAGCATCCAGCAGCGATGCTGGCATTTTCGGTTGGGCCAAGGGCATGTATTGGTCAGAATTTCGCGATGCTGGAAGCTAAGACAGTCATGGCTACCATTCTTCAAAGGTTTTCGTTCACTATTTCACCAGAATACAAGCATAAGCCTGTGACTTTGCTTACTTTACAACCTCAAGATGGTCTTCCCATTATTTTCAAACCTTTGGTTTATTGACCGGGCATTTGTAGTTGCAGTTACTCATGAATCAGCTCTTGAGTTCTTATATTGTCATGTAGAACAAACTAGTTAAGGAGCGATGTCAATTCCTGAGGAAGAAATGTAGCGTTTTTTTTCATTGGTATTTGCTGTTATGTCTTGCACGTGTCTCCAAATTGTTGAAGTTTGAAAAGTCTACTCCAATTGGTTAGTGTACAAATGCTGTGTTCCGATCGACAAGGAATAGTAAGTACCTATATACTGGTAGAGTGAAATAACAGCTTGAGGAACAAAGGGAGTTAGCATATAAATTCACTATGGATTAAAAAATCTTAAATCTGTTGATTACAGTCTAGTGGATGAAAATCATGCAGTCTGAATGTTTATCATACTTCATGATTCGTCTAGAAATTATGTTCAGGTCATATTGCGTCCTGCTGGGTTGATGGATTAACACTAATCTACTGTTCAGGTCATATTGCGTCCTGCTGGGTTGATGGATTAACACTAATCTACTGTTCAGGTCATATTGCGTCCTGCTGGGTTGATGGATTAACACTAATCTACTGTTCAGGTCATATTGCGTCCTGCTGGATTGATGGATAAACTCTAATCTACGTGGACCCTGTTGACTCGAAACAAGTATTTCGCGATGCTGGAAGCTAAGACAGTCATGGCTACCATTCTTCAAAGGTTTTCGTTCACTATTTCACCAGAATACAAGCATAAGCCTGTGACTTTGCTTACTTTACAACCTCAAGATGGTCTTCCCATTATTTTCAAACCTTTGGTTTATTGACCGGGCATTTGTAGTTGCAGTTACTCATGAATCAGCTCTTGAGTTCTTATATTGTCATGTAGAACAAACTAGTTAAGGAGCGATGTCAATTCCTGAGGAAGAAATGTAGCGTTTTTTTTCATTGGTATTTGCTGTTATGTCTTGCACGTGTCTCCAAATTGTTGAAGTTTGAAAAGTCTACTCCAATTGGTTAGTGTACAAATGCTGTGTTCCGATCGACAAGGAATAGTAAGTACCTATATACTGGTAGAGTGAAATAACAGCTTGAGGAACAAAGGGAGTTAGCATATAAATTCACTATGGATTAAAAAATCTTAAATCTGTTGATTACAGTCTAGTGGATGAAAATCATGCAGTCTGAATGTTTATCATACTTCATGATTCGTCTAGAAATTATGTTCAGGTCATATTGCGTCCTGCTGGGTTGATGGATTAACACTAATCTACTGTTCAGGTCATATTGCGTCCTGCTGGGTTGATGGATTAACACTAATCTACTGTTCAGGTCATATTGCGTCCTGCTGGGTTGATGGATTAACACTAATCTACGTGGACCCTGTTGACTCGAAACAAGTTAATTCTTCTTAAACTTCTACTCTAAAAAACACTACAAATCGTAATAAAAGGACACGCAAATAACGTGGTTCGGCACAAAATTACCTACGTCCATGGGCTGTTACAAATCTTTCGCTAAGAGGAGAAAATTTACAAGAATTTTTTTTACACAACTTGTATCCTAAATTTTACTCTGAAACAATTTTCTCACACTAAGGCCTTTTCTCTATGCGTTTCTTTTCTCTCTTTTACTCTTCTATAAGATGAGTTGATTCTGTGATGATTTTTTCCTGAAAATTTATGGGCCTATTTATAGTATTTGGGAAAATACTATGCACTAATAATTTATTAGTGATGGGGCCCGTGATGGGGCCCACTCAACTTCTTTTTTACTCTAATTTCTTTCTTTTGCTGCCTGACCTTTTCCTTTTGTCAACATTAGCTCCCCCCTCCCCCACTTTGCTTTCAGTGCAGCCAATCTTGATAATCTCCCACTTGAAGACTGATTTCAATCTGTCTTCACATCTCGATCTATGCAACAGCTCTTTTCCGGTCTTGATACTATTGCAGGCCAACTGAAGCTGAACATAACTTCAGCTTGTCAGTAGTCACCGTCTTTGTCAGCATGTCTGTCGGATTTTGAGCTCCACTGATCTTTTCAAGTTTTAAAATTTTATCTTCCAAAAGTGACTGGATAAAATGATACTGCACCTGTATGTGCTTTGTTATGAAATGAAAAGATGGATTCTTCGCTAGATGAATAGCACATTAACAATCGCAATATAAGACATTGTCTTCTTGTTTCTTCCCTAATTCATCCAAGAAACTTTAAAGCCAAACCATTTCATTGATAGCTTCTGTAACAGCGACATATTCTGCTTTAGTTGTGGAGAGAACAACTATCTTCTGCAGTTAAGAAACCCAACTCACTGCAGTGTATCCTAGAGTATAGACATACCCTGTAGTGCTCTTTCGGATATAAACATTTCCTGCTAAATCAGCATCCACATAACCTATTAGTATTGTATATTCACATTTGAAACAAAGTGCTTTACCTGCATTGCCCCTTAGATATCTTAGGATCCATTTGACTTCTTCCCAGTATACGTTACCCGGATTATTAATGTACCTACTAACAGCTTCCACTGCTTGAGTAATATCTGGTTTTATACAAACCATAACATACATCAGACTTCCAATTGTTTAGGCGTACGGGACCTTCACCATGTGTGCATGCTCTTTCTCTGTTTTCAATGACTGCTCTTTGGAAAGTCTGAAATAAACACCTAAAGGTGTACTCACTGGTTTAGCATCTTGCATATTAAATCGGGAGAGTACTTTGTTGATGTACTCAGCCTGTGATAACATCAAAGTCCTAGACTTTGTGTCTCTCTTGATTCTCATTCCAAGAATCTGCTTTGCAGCGCTAAGATCTTTTATTACGAACTGCTTTGATAATTTTTGCTTTAAATTTATAATCTCTTCAGATCTGACCCTACAACTAGCATGTCATCAACGTATAACAATAAAATAATAAAGCTATTGTCAAATCTATTGAGATAGCAACAATGATCTGCTTGGTATCTAGTGAAACCGTTACTGCCCATAAAGCTGTCTAACTTCTTGTACCACTATCTGGAAGCTTGTTTTAATCCATACAAGCTCTTCTTCAAACAACATACTGGATTTTTCTTGCCTGCCTTTATGAAGACTTTTGGTTGCTTCATATAGATCTCCTCCTCTAAATCACCATGAAGGGAAGCTATTTTTACATCTAACTGCTCAAGATGTAAATTCTTAGCAACTACAATTTTCAACACCAATCTGATTATAGTCAGTTACATGATCGGAGTGAAAATTTTATTGTAATCAATATCTTTTTTTTTGAAAGCCTTTAACAACCAATCTTGCAATATAGCACTTGTTCCCATCATGCTCTTCTTTGATCCTGTAAATCAACTTGTTATGAATAGCTTTCTTACCTGGCGGTAATTCAACTAAGTCCCACGTCTGATTTGACATAAGCGAGCCCATCTCATCTTGCATAGCAGACTCCCACTTGACTGAATCCTCCACCTGCATTGCTTCATCATAACACTCTGGTTCCCCACTGTCAGTCAGCAATAAGTAGTGCAAAGAAGGCGAATAACGCTGGGTTGACATAAGAATTCTGGTGGAGCGTCTCACTTCTAGCGTGATTGGTTCTTCTTGAACTACTTCAGGACTTGTCTGAACATCATTTTCAGAAATCTCCTCATATCCAACAAATTCCTTTGTTTTAGCATTTGTACTGGAGCTACTTGATTCTGTAGTAATCTGTCTTTATACATCACATTCTCATTGAATATGACATCTCTGCTTCTGATGATTTTTCAATTTCAATAATCCCAAAACCGGTAACCAAACTCATCACCACCATAACCAACAAAAACACATTTGTTAGATTTGGCATCAAGTTTATTTTTTTCAGTAGAATCTATGTGTACATAAGAGATACAACCAAAAACTCTTAAATGCGAAAGGTTTACCTCTTTTCTGCTCCAAGCTTCTTCCGGTATTCCACCATCCAAGAGAACTATGGGCCCACAGTTGATTAGGTAGGCTGCGGTATTGATAGCTTCAGCCCATAGGAACGTGGGCAAGCCGACTTGTATCCTCATGCTTCTGGCATGTTCATTCAAAGTGATGTTCATGCGCTCTGCTAGGCCATTCTGCTACGGTGTCATGAGAACTGTTTCTCCATCTTGATCCTGTTGTATGCACAAAATTCTTTGAACCTATTGTCTTTGTACTATGTACTATGCTCCATTGTCTGACCTTAACTGCTTTATCTTCAAACCAGTTTTATTTTCCATCATGGCCTTTTATTTTCTGAAGGTATCAAAGACTTCTGATTTCTTCTTTAGAAAATAGACTCATACCTTTATTGTAGAATCATTAATGAAGGTGATATAGTACAGTGAGCCTGCAAGAGATGGAACTGGAGATGGTCCCCATATGTCGGCATGAACCAGTTCTGCCTTGGGTGTCTTGTCAATCTTTGCAAAACCGACTTTCTTCTGTTTGCCAAAGATGCAATCCTAGCATAGGCCGACATCTACATTATTCAGAAACGACAGCTTCCCTTTCGATAGAAGTGTCTTTATCCCTTTCTCGCTCATATGGCTAAGCCTTTGGTGCCATAGGTTTGATTTTTTATCTTCATCTGTTACTGCAATAATATTCTCTAAGTTAGAGGTTACATAGAGAGTATCATTTTTCTTACCTCAAGCAATGACGAGTGCTCCTTTGGTAATCTTCCATTCATGACTTGAGAAGGTTGTACAGTAACCTTCTCCATCAAGCTGCCCCACAGAGATCAAATTCCTTTTAAGGCTAGGAATATGTCTCACTCCTTGCAGCTTCCATGTGGTATGATTTGGCAATTTTAATTGGATGTCTCCCTTACCAACGATCTTTAAGGTTTCATCATCTGCTAGATGTACCTTTCCGAAATCACCGCTGACGTAGTTCTCTATGATTTCTCGAATGATATGGCATGGAAGGATGCCCCTGAATCAAGAATACATGATTCAATCAGACTGTTGACGCCTAGAATCATAGCACCACCTCCTTCCTCGGTCACGTTGGCCCTTGCTTTCGGTGCAGCCAATCTTGACAATCTCCCACTTGAAGACTGATTTCAGTCCGTCTTCACATCTCGATCTATGCAGCAGCTCTTCTCTAGTCTTGATAGTATTGCAGGCAAACTGAAGCTGAACATAGCTTTAGTTTGTTAGTAGTCACCGTCAAGTTTCACTAGGAAATTACATGAACTGGGTCAATTTCCTTGTATAGAG